TTCATTCTGTAGGTTGTCTCTTTACTTGGTTGACAGTTTACCTTGCTATGCAGAAGTTTTAAAATTTGATATGATTCCCTTTGTTGATTCTTGATATATATATTTTTAAATCTTTTTTGAGACCGGGTCTCTCCATCCAGTTCAGATTGGCCTTGGGTTCACTTTGTAGCCCAGGCTGGCCTCAAATTTGCAACCGTCCTCCTGCCTCAGGCTCCCAACTGCTGGGATTACAGGAGTGCACCACCATCCTGGCTCTGTTGATTCTTGATATTATTTCTTTGCTACTAGGCTTCTGTTCAGAAAGTCATGACCTATGCAATGTCTTCAAAATTTTTACTTGTTTTATCTTCCAGTAGATCATGTTTAACATAATCTATAGATATTTGATGCATTTTGGTTTTAGTTTAGTATATGTTGAGTGAGATTCATGTTTCTTGATCAATCTTCTGCATGTGGATAGCCGGTTTTCTCAGCACTATTTCTTAAAAGAGGCTACCTTTCCTCCAGTGTATGTTTTTGGTCCCTTTGTCAAGGTCAAATAGTTCAATCTACCTGGGATTATTTCTGTGTTCCCTAGTCTATTGGGCTGACCCACATGTCTGTTTTTGTGTCACTGCTATGTAGTTTCTATCACTGCAGTATTATAATATAATTTAAAATCTAAAATCATGATGCGTCTTGTGTTGCTCCTGTTCTCCAAGATTACTTTTGCTATTCTGGGTCTCTTCTGGTTTCAAATGAATTTTAGAATTTAGTTATATCTTGTTTTTATCACTGAAGTGTTAGCACTTAGAGTACAGTGTTGTAATTAAACTTCAATACAACTGCAGTGTTGTAATTTAATTTAAAATCTGAAATTGTGATGCCTCTTGCTTTGCTCCTGTTGCCCAGGATTGCTTTTGTTATTCTGGGTTTCTTCTGGTTTCAAATTAATTTTAGAATTGTTTTGTCTAATTCTATGAGGAATACTATTTACATTTTGATTGGAATTGCAGTAAGGCTATATATTATTAGTTTTGGAAGTATGATCATTTTGATTATATTATTCTGACTATTCAAGAATAGGGGATATTGGAGCTGGGGATTTAGCTCAGTGGCATAAGCGCCTGCCTTACAAGCAGGCAGCTGTAAGTTGGATCCCTGGTACTGATAAAAAGGAAAAAGACAAAAAAAAGAATAGGGAATACCATTTTTAATGTCCTTGATGATCTACTTTTTTCAGAGTACAATAGTTATTGTTGTAGAGGTATTTCATTTCCTCAATTAGGTTAATTCCTAAGTATTTAATTTTCCTAGATGCTATTGTGAATGGTATTGTTTTCCTAAACTCTTTTTCATTCAGTTCATTTTTAAAATTTTATTTAAAGAGAAAGAAACAAAAAAAATACATGGAGAAAAAAAGGGTAGAAATAATACAGAATTACAGAAAAATAAACAGTAAGAAATCACTAGTTGATAAGTTATGTATTGTCATCTTAGAAATAGTTGTTCAGGTTACAAAATTAAAGCATACAAAGTGACATTCAAATAGTGACACTGCCAACAGTTCTGCTCAATGATCCAACAAAAACTTAGTAATATGGTTATCAGTCCTACACAATTGTTTTTTATCTTAAAGAGGGTAAGATTAAACATATCAAAACTGAACAAACAGTTCAAAAAGAAACAATTTAAAGAAATACAGATTTCAAAGCAAGTCCACTGGAGATCTTCACTGTTTATCTAATTGTCTCTAGTTTCTTATCAAATAGTTGTTCCTATCTTCATGCACATTAAATACATACTGCATATTATAGAACTAATGAAATTATTACAGGATGATGAAGGCTTTTTAGGTCTTCAAGATCACATTGGGGAAGACAATAATAACTACCATAGTGTCTCTCATTCTCTTCGAAGTAGCTGTCCTTATCTTTACATATGCTGAAATTGAACTTAAGAGACTAGACTAATATCACTCTGAACAGTGAATAATAGTATTGCTAGATTTTATATCATAATGCTACAGAATTAGCATTGGGTTTCTTAGTGTCTCTTCTTTAGAGTATCGTTCATTACATCTTGCATTGTATAATCTGTTCCTGTAAATAGTTTTTAAAAAATCTTCTCATGTGTGAATTTATACATGTGTATCTATCCTCTCTGTATTATAGGGAAAAACAAATCATAACAAGACAGCAAAACAAATTCCTAGAAAAACATGCAATGAAAAAGACACATAAGACCACAATATTAGGTGATCTACCATAGCTACTATTCCTTCTCTTGTTATTTTCAATAGACCTGTCCACATCATCAGGCTTAATATACTTAAGCATAGTATTACATAGCTATTTTTATAAAAACACAACTTTGAAAACATTGTAGGACTTGAGAGCTGTTAATAATCAAAACCGGTATAGATATCTTTTACATCTTGTCATCTTCAGAGTAGTTTCCTCTACTTTTAGGGTTGATACCAAATTCAAATAAAGCATACCAAATTCAAATAAAATCAGCCAAGGCAAAACTGCGGTCTAACGAATCAGATTCAAATAAGATCAGTTATATGACAATGTAAGTAATACAAGGTTTCAGTTCAAGTTAATAGGAAATTAAGGATAGTTACCATGATATAGCTTGCTATTTTTGGGTCAGATGTCTGTGCCCTCAAATCTGATATGAGTGGAAAGACCAGAACAAATTAAATTCAAACTAAACAGAGCGATAAGACTACTGTGACTTTTAAATCCGGATACACTATTAACAATGACCTCTGCCTTTTTAATATAGTGTATCAAAGCTATCTATACTAAAGATGATAGCTTACCGTCTCTGCCTCATGTCTGCTACTCCACTTTACTCCTATAATTTGTCTACCTTACTCCCTGATTCCACTGTCTGCCCCGTTCATTGAGGCCTCTCTGCCACTGTTGCTGGAGTCCTGGTATCCCTTCCTCTCTCTTTCTGGAATGTCCTTCAGCACACTCTATAGGGTTGGGTTGGTGGCCATGAACTCCCACAGTTCCTCCTTGTCTTGGAAAAATCTTATTTTCCATTAATTTTGAGAGAGAGTTTTTCTGGGTATATCAGTCTTAGTTGCAAATTATTTTCTTTCAGGGCTTAGAATATTTCTCCCCAGGCTCTTCTCATTTTGAGAGTTTGTGTTGATAAGTCTGTTGTTATTTTTTTTGTTGTTGTTGTCTTTTTCGTTTTTATTGGTACCGGGGATCGAACTCATTACTGCCTGCTTGTAAGGCAGGCACTTATGCCGCTGAGCTAAATCCCCAGCCCCAGTCTGTTGTTATTTTGATAATTTTCCCATTGTAGGTTATCTGCTTCTTTTCCCTTGCTGCTTTTAGTATTTTATTTTTGGTGGATTTCTGGAATTTTGATTATTATATGTCTGGGTGTAGATCTGTTTTGGTTGTAGGTAGCTGGAATTCTGTATGCCTCATTTATCTGGATATAATTTCTTTTTCCTCTACTTGGGAAGTTTTCCTTTAATATATCTGTGAATATTCTTTGTATTTCATTTTTGGTTGCTCCTGCTTCCTCGCTCACATGCTTTATTCTTAAGTTATGTATCCTTTTGTCATCTTCTAGCCTTTGAATTGTCTCTTTATGTTTTTAAGAGGTCTTTCTTTCATGATCATGTATCATAAATCTCTCTTCAAGTTTTAAAAGACTAACTTTAGTTTCTATCAAGGCCTTTTGCCAGTGTCCAATGGAGTTTTTAGTTTCCTGGTAATCTCTTTGGATCTGTTTCATGTATTCTAGGTTACGTTTAAATTCTTCAGAAGTTTCTCTTTTCTAATATCCTCCATTCTTCCATCTGTGTTCTCTTGGGAGGGGCTTATTATTTCTTTAATTAATCTCTTTATGTCTTGCCTCACTTGGATCAGAAGTACAGTTTGAAATTCGTCTATGAGGTCATGAAGGTATTTCTTTGTTTCGGCTGATGCTGTGTCTAGTATTGGATGGTTACTGTGCTGGTTCTCTTCTGTGTTTACTTCTCCTGGGCTTATTTTCTCACATTCAGCAGCTGGAGATTTTTTATTTCTATTTCTTTTCATGTGTTTGGTTTCTTTCAGACTGGAGTGTCCTAGGGGTCTCTGGCCCTCTCCATATTGCTTTCTGAAGCGTGCCGACTTGAGTTTTTGCTGCCCTCTCCAATTTACTATTATCTGAGGTTGGCAGGGATGCAGGGACAGTACAGGCTAGCCTCCAGCCTCTGTGCCAGTCAATCTGCAAGTTAGGCTGTACCTTGTGGACATCACAGAGTCGTGACTATTTTGTATCTGCTTGTTGAGTCCCAACCAGCAGACCCCGCCAGTTCTCTCTGAGCCAGAAGTGGCTGGTTAATGTCACTGAGGCACAGTGCTCTGCCCAAATCCCAGCTGTCTTCTTGTTCAGTTCATTTTTGATGTACAGGAATGCCATTGATTTTCTGAAGGGTGTTTTTTGAGACAAGGCATCACTGTGTATTTGAGGGAGATCTGGAAATTGCTATGTAACCCACACTGGCCTCAAATCCACAGTCATCCTCCCCGCTCAGCCTCTCAAGTGCTGGGATTACAGGCATGTGCCATTGTACCCAGCTTTGGGTTGATTTTATCTCCTATGTTGCTGAATTTAGTTATTAATTCTAGGGCCTTCTGGTTGAATTTTTCAGGTCCTGGCCTCAAACTCACAGTGATCCTCCTATCTCTGTCTCCCAAATTCTGCTCTTACAGTATTTCTGTAAATAATACTTTTTAAAACCTCATTTGTGTTGTCTTCTGATTTTTTCACTAATTTCGATTAATTTTAGTCTTCCTTGCCTCATTTAGGAGCTACTGGATTCATTTTTAAAGCCTTGAATTCACAATATAGCCTAGACAGGCCTCCACCTTGTGATGATCTTCTGTCTTAGCTTCCAGAATTCTGGGATTACAGGCATGCATCACTATGCACAAGTTTCTTGTTGTTTTTAAGGTATCTCCAAATAAGTGGTCACTAACAGCTGCCCTGTCTTTCAGTTCTGACAGTCTGTCTTCCCACTGGTTGCTTGTGCTGCCCATATTCTGAATAGAATTTGTAATCTCCTGAATTTCTACTTGGTAACTTTTCATGACTCTAGTTGTTTGTTAAGTTGGTTGTTCATGTGTTATATCATTTTGTTTAACTTAACCAGTTTTTTATGGGTGTCTTCTGCAAACTCACTGATCATTTTGTTTCTTAGATCCATTATCTATATTTTCTTTGACCTCACCAAGTACAGTGTTTCTTTGTATCTCCTCTTATTTTTCAAATAATTAGACTGTGTGTCTTTTTATATTTGCCTCCCACCCCATGGATCATCTTTGGGGGAATTAGTTTTTGGCCACTGTTGCCTTGTCTTCTCATGTTTCTGTTGTTTTTTCCTTCTCATGTCTTGATTTTGTTTGTTGTTGCTTTTTTGAGTTTTGTGGGTAGATTACAGTGGAAGACTCTATTGCTAATATGGAAACCTGTTTCCTTTTCAGTGTCTTCAGTGATCTCTGGGCATGGCCAACTACAAGCTTTGCTTCTGTCCCAAGATCCAACCACCTCTGTGATTAAAGGTGTGCACCACCACATATCTATTACTTTTGAACAAATCCCAAATCCACATCTCTAGGTTTCTTAACATTTCCAACACTGAAGTATATGTGATAGAGACTAGATTCTGTTGTCATCTCTAAAAAGTGCTGATTTTATTTGGTAAGCATTCCAGTAACTGAGTGGCCACCTAAACTTATGTATTTCAATTCCTATCTATGGAAAACTCAAGAAGTTTTCCAAGTCATTAGTGGCAAGATTTCCAGTCTCCTATACAAAAGCAATAGTACCTCAGTTCACTAACTTAATTCGTTGCATGATTCTGGAAAACATGACTGTGTTTGTGTTCATGCAGGAAAGATGGCTATGGTTGTATTGGGCACCCAATGCAGTTTGCAAACAAAAAGAAAATTTTGCTGAGCATTTCTTTTCAAACCAAACTGTTCATAATGAACCAAACTGTTCATTAGTGAACTGAGGTACACTGTAATATCCAGGACTCCATGTTAGACTTCGTTAGGGAAGGTGAGGAATAGGTCTTCTTTTAGAGGAATGGTGATGGCTCTATGGCACCCATGTTAATGTATTTTTTTTTTTTTTGTCTTTTTTCATTTTTATCAGCACCGGGGATTGAACTCACGACTGCCTGCTTGCAAGGCAGGCACTTATGCCGCTGAGCTAAATATCCAGCCCCTATAGGGTTGTGTTTTTTTTTTTTTTTTTTTTTGTCTATATTAATGTATTTTTAAGACAAAGAATGTTAATGTATGAGTTATTTTTTTTCTAAACTAAAACCTCAGTATTCAGGTTTAACTGCATTGTTGGCACTTCACAATAATGATTTGGGGGTTCCAGGAGGATCAAAACCCTCTGCAGAGCTCGAGACTCTGGTGGCTAAGACAAGGAATGTCTCTGGGCAGCTTGTATTTATTTAGTATTCAAGGAAGGGGTTAGAGTGAAAACCACAAGAAACTTGGGAGTGGTACAAGGACTCTGCCAAGTAGTAAATTATGTTTAATTTAGGAGAAATATCTTAGGAGAGCTCCATGTTGCATTTCAGTACAAGATTGAAATGCCTAAAGCTACAGTCTCCATTTAGTTAACTGGAGTTGGAGCCAGGTGTCCTCAGCTGTGACCTTATTTTGCCATTTGAGGTGTCTCTTTTTGGGTGGGCTAGGCCATGCCACAACCCTGCATGTGTGTTCAATTTCTAGTGTCAATGGCTCCCAACAGCAAAGAGGCTAACACCTGTAATCTCAGCTACATAGGAGGTTGAAACAGGATGATGTAATTTCAAGACTAGTCTGAGGAAACTTCGAATTTGTCTCAAAATAAAACAAATCTGGCTGATGATGGACTGTAACTCAGTGGTACAGTGCTTGCCTAGCAGGGGTTCAGTCCCCAGCATGGGAGAGGGTATAAGTAGGGGACAGAGGAAAAAAAAAAAAAAAAAAAAAAAAACTTCTGGAAGTTACAGTTAAGAGTTTGAAAGGGGGAGATAGTCTGAAAGAATGAAGGTAACAAGTAAAGAAAAGCAGAAATGAGAATTGGTGAAACAAAATCCTGCAGCATCCTGTTTTTAATTGTCTTCAAGTCCAAGGGCCTCATACACTTTCTTACATGGATCATTGCTTTGTTGTTGTTGTCAGTCTAAAAAGGAACTGGAGTGGGCTTGATGTGAGTCCTGAGAATTAAAAACTTGGGGGCTGGGAATTTAGCTCAGTGGCATAAGCACCTGCCTTGCAAGCAGGCAGTCATGAGTTCGATCCCTGGTACCGATAAAAATGAAAAAGACAAAAAAAAAAAAATTGATGGCTCCCATGGGATGCTAAGGCTCAATTGGCATTATTTCATTGGAGCCATAGAGCCACACATAGGTAGTAGAAGAATCTAAGGTCAGCAGATACGAGAGCTGTCTCCCACAAGTGTTTTTTAGGAGTGGAGTGGGGTGGGGTCTTGGTTTTTTATAGATTCTCTGTCCTCATATTGTAGCAAATTTTGTTGTTAACATGACTACACAGATAAGAAAAGGCACAATCTTAACATAGGATAAAAAACAAAGCAATATTTTAGAAGTATTTTGAAGTCTTATCTATGTGTTCCTCTGGAGTCATCCTTGCATTTCAAGAGTATTTTATATTGTGCATCTCCATTTTCATGCCATGACCTGAACTTACAAGGCTCTCCCTATGGTGTTCTTTCCTACCTCTCTGATCAGTTTCATTTCTCTCCCCCTTGCTCATTACATCCCAGTCACATAACCTTAATGTTTCTGTTGAGTGAAGACTTGATTATTTGGAAACTTGAAGACCTTAAAACTTTATTTCATTTATTTATTTATGGTACCAGGAATCAAACTTACCGACTGCTCACCAGGCAGGTGCTGTGCTGCTAAGCTGTATCTTTGGTGGGAATTTGTTTTATTTTTAATAGTTCTTTATCATTATTTAAAGTTATCTTGTTCATTTGTTTGCTGGTGCATTGTTTGACCACCCCTACTTGAACAGAACAGACCTAGTCTGTCTTTCATTTCTCTTATTACTTACAAGACTGCTGGGCACACATAAAAGGCATTCAGTACCTGTTGTGTTAATCAGCCCTACAGTGAACAGCCTTCATGTAAAATTTCTCCTTTTCCAGTGCAGCTTAACTTAAAATAGCAACTAAGTTTACTCAAGTTTTAATATTAATATTTAAATCATTTACATAAATGTTATTTAAATAAATGTTAACAGAACCAGCAAAACAGTGAAGTACGTTTAACTTTTAATTTATTAGAACCCAGTAAGTGATGATTTTGAAAGCAGAGTTCCCATCAAATTAACACTTAATTCAGGGCAAAAATACATTTTAAAAACCTAAATCTTAAGGCAGAAGTAAAACATTATAAAAACAGAATGTCGACTATAGTTTGTAGACTGTCTTATTTATTTATTTATTTTTTGTCTTTTTCCTTTTTATCGGTACCGGGGATCAAACCTCACGACAGCCTGCTTGTAAGGCAGGCGCTTATGCCGCTGAGTTAAATCCCCAGCCCCTGAATGTCTTATTTTTAACAGTGTCACATAGTATTTTATAGCACTAAATTGTGTTAATACAGTCAGAAATATTATCCATTGATCCAAAATTTCTTAGTCTTTAAAATGCCTCAGCTGCTAACTGAAGAAATTTTGCTGTGTAAGTAACAGCTGCTATATAATCAAGTGATCACTTTTGATGTCAAACGAACTAAGGCAGATAATTTTATGGTTTTCATTTGTAAAAGTTTTAGAATATTAAATATGAAATATTACTAGGAATATTTTTAGATTTATCTTCCCATGCTAATTCCCAAAGGATATATATCACTTCCCTTAACTCCATTTAAAAACTCCGTGAACTGTTAATACCTATTAATTGTAGGCCCATCCTACTGATAATAAAGGCATACATTATTTACTTTATATGGTAGAAAAAAATTGTACTCAATAACTGCATCTTTTTCTGGTCATTAAATAACTTCAGACTGAAGTAAAAAAATTTTTGCATTTTAACGAATGAACAGTCTATTTCTTTAAGTTTCAATTATAACTGGAACCTGGGGGTGAGAGGCAGGGGGATTTCATGTTAGTCTGTCTGTTTTGTGGTACTGAGGGCCAACTAGGGAAGCGCTCTATACTCAGCGATACTTCTAGCTCAGTATTTCATATTTATAGTGAATTAACAATAGTGCTTCTGAAAAACAGGATTAACAACCTTAAATTTCTTTCATAATCCAACCTTTTGTTTTTAAGACAAGGGGTAAGATGTAAAAGTGCTTTAATCAGAAAAAAAGGATTAGCTTGTCATATAAGTTCCTTACACATTCTACTGAATAGTGTCAAAAATGACAAAATATATTTAAAATAATTTTTTAAGTCTAACAAATATGAGGTTGGTGGTACTTAACTAACACAGTAAGTAATTACAAGGATTCCTTTTTATTACAAACTTTAAGCTATTTTTATAAAACAGCTATAGACCTCATTGTACTTCTATCCTTATTTTTGCATTAATAAAAACTTGTTAAAATTCCTTATGTAGTATTTCTGAAAAAAATCTAGTCAATGAAAATCACTAACACTACAGGAAGGCTTTGAAATATGGATTGCAGATTCATTTCAAAGTAGATTTAGCCCTCTTCAGGACCTGGCATTTAAATCATGAATATCTTTACAATGCAAACTGTGAAAATAAAACTTTAGTCAGTGCTGACTATGATTGAAAAGTACTGGTATTATGGGAAAAAACTGAAAATGCATTCAACAATTTCAAGCTAAGTAAGAGTAAGTGATAAGTATTTGTGTCTTTGAAGGTTATCTTAAATTCCATGAGTCCTCAACTGAAAGCTAATCTGCCAAAACATATCAGCACGTACGTAAAGTAAAAGGAGCAGTAAGGTGATTTTGCACACTTGTTGTAAAGTGTTTGGCATCCAGTTTCCCTTCATTTATGTAGCTATTCTAGGCATAACTCCTTGAAGAGCATAAAAGGAAGGGAACAGAACAGAACACCTGTTAGGCTAACAAGCATATATTAGTGTATAAAACCTTTAAAAAAAACACCTTTTCAGCTGAGTAACTTCTCATTGTGGTTATGGTATGTGCAACATGTAACCTGTACAATGATGTTCTGTTTTCCATTTGTGGAGAAAATTAAGCTTAATAAAATGTGAAATATACATTAGTTTGCTTTAAATGCAAAGATTATCTTTTTGGCTCAACCGTATTATAACCAAAAAAGTCTCTGCTTTGATAATACAATATGAACAGTTCACATATGTACATGAGTACATTCCTGCATTAAAATTTTTCCTTAAATCTACCTCAAGGTATCTTTACAACTGATATAACAGATCTTTACAACAAAAGTTAAAAAATGACACAGTAGAAATGATTCCATTTTACAGCACTTTAGGTTTTGTGAAGTTTTCCTTTAGGATTTAGAGGACATCATTGAAACGCTGCTTTCCATAGTCTGCAGGGTCCATCTGAAGCTCTCGTTCTTCATCATCTGTAAGTAAAATAATTATACATCAAGAAAAATATTTTAAAATCACTAGAGAAATCCAACTTAAAATATTTCTATTATTTTAAACCTTAAGATAATTTTTCTTGTTATTTCTCATCTAATGTAAACAGTGCTCTATTTCTTAGTTGGTTGGCTAAGGAGTAGTAAATCTAACTCTTTTGGAGGGTTACTTAAACAAATCTTTAATGACCAACAGAGATGTAGAGCTGGATATAACATAGAGAGCTAGCAAAACTTTAGGCATCCACAGTGTTGAGGAGTCAATGCCCTTATATACATACGTTACTTCTATGTATATGAAAGTTTAACCCCTTAACTAAGCTTTAATAGATAGAATAGGAACATTTTATGTGTATTTTATGCATTTAGAAAAAAAGTGTTTTCTAATTTTAGGATTAATCTATATTGGTAATATAAAATTAGAAAATAAAAGTCACTCATAATACTAACAATTAACATTGCTGTGAATTTCTTTGCTGGTCTGCAAATATCTTACCCTTGACTTTCTAAATGAAGTATGCTAACTAAAATTTAATGTCTTTTTTTACCACAAAGAAAAAAGAAATATTGGGCTGGGAATATAGCTCAGTGGCACAGTGCCTGCCTGTCAAGTACAAGGCTGAGTTCAATTCCCAGTACAAAAAAAACAAACAAAACAGAAACAAAAAAAAAGAAATACTATATGGCATCATTAGTAAGATCCTCAGAGCTTCTTTGTATAGCTCTATTAAATATATAACTCCAAACAGTGCTCTAGAAATTTGACTTATTTGGTCACTGACAAGTTTTCTTGCCTCCTTGGCTAGCAGCTGTCACTCTGAGCTACTGTCAGTTTAAGCTGCCAACTGTATTCCTTTTCTTCAAAAATCTGCTGTAAACCATCGTTTTGAAATAATAATGCTCTAAACAATTAAAATTATGTTAGAATAACAAAAAGTATTAAATCTCAGCCTGGGAGGACATGGTTTTTCATAAAATTTTTATTTTAGATTTAAAATTTTTTTCTTTCAAAAGTGACAAACAGCCAGAGTACCTGCCTAGCATGCATGAGGCTCTAGATTCAATCCCCAGAATTGGAGGGGAAAAAATTATCAAATAACCCAACATGCTTCTTCCACAACTTCCCTATTGACCTGTTCACAATGGGCTGAACATGCATGACTGACCCATTTCTCTGCTTGTACCACCTGATAAGACTGTCCCATGGCACCTGATAGTCCTGCATGTACCACTGGTAATTCAGCCCAATGGGAACATGTTAAACTTACAAAAATTCTTATGCAGACCTGTAAGAAACCATATTCTTAAACTGTTCGCCTATCTTTAATAATATAATCTATTAGGTATGACAACTTCAAATCTATTATATGTGTAAAAGGTTGAAATTATATCTTTATTCACATTTGGATTTTGTAAACATGCTTTTTTTTTTTTAAAGTTTTTTTGAGACAGGGTCTTGCTATGTGTTCTAGGTTGGTCTTGAACTTTCTAAGTGGCCCTGGTAGCCTTGAACTCACAGCAGTCTTCTTCTCTCAGCCTTTCAAGTGCTGGGATTATAGGCATGTGCCCCCCCTGCCAGTTGTTAATCAATTTCTTATTTAAAAAATTCACTGTATTTAAAAATACTCTCTTTGGCTTTAAAAGGGAAATAACTATGGGCACCCAGGTATGGCAGTTCATACCTGTAATTGCAGCACCAGAGGCTGAGGCAGGTGGATCCTAAGTTTGAAACCAGCCTGGGCAACTTAATGACAGGGACATCCTGTCTCAAAATAAAAAGAAAAAGGCCTAAGGCTGTGGTTTGGCACAAAGGCCCTGGGTTTAATCCCCGGTACTGCGGGAGAGGTGGTGGTGGTGGGATGTTGCTGGCACTTTTCCAGAAAGCTCTCCCTAGAATCCACCTTGTAAGACCTCATATTATGGCTGTAAGGACATCTTTCAAGACATAAGTAATTAGATGGAGATGTAATTACTAATGAGCAGTGGAAATTTTCTATCAGAAAAGTTATTGAAGGAAAAAAATGTTAGTTCTTTGAATTTTTAAATGAATAAATGTAAAGAGAAAATGAGACATAAGCACAGGTCTAGGAATAGAAAAACTGAAACTTGTTCATAATATTTGTTCCAGATACTTAACAAACATGATATATTTCCTAAATGTCTTGGCCTCTAGTTATGTTTTCAGTAGAATAAGAATAACAACTGTTTTTTCCTAGGACAGAATAAAATACTGTACACAAAGGCAGTCTTTACTGCAGAATCCTCTATAAAAAAATTTATGCTCCTCAGCAAAATTTTAATCCACTTATGCCAAAAGTTGCAATTTTACATATTACCTAGAAAAATTCAAGGAACAAGAATTTAAAGAGGAAAATTTTTATTATGTTAATCCTTTCTTGTGGTGTTCCAAAAATGGAACAATAGGTATAAATGGGTTAATGATGCTCTCACATTGTTTTTCAGAATTTCATAGGACTTTTCCATTACAAATTGAGGTATCACTTACATTAACTACAGCCCATTTTCAGTACAACTATTCTACCCAGAATTCAAGTTTCAATCAACAACCTCTTTTATGTATCTGTAAAGCACTATGAAATTACCTGACCAAATTTGATATGGAATAATAAACAGTAAGCATAATTATATGGACTACAATTCTAGTTTATATTATATTATATTTATTTTTGGAGCACTAGGGATTGGACCTACGGCCTTTGCAACGAGTTACATTCCTAGCCCTTTTTTCTTTTCTTCTATTTTTTTGAGACAGGGTCTTGTGATACAGTTCAGGCTGGCCTTGAACTCACTGTGTAGCCCAGGCTGGCCTCAAACTCCCAACAAGCCTCTTGCCTCTCTTTAGAAAGCAGCAAAATCTGTCAGCTAATCAAGGTAAAATTATTACAAAAGGGAAAGATTAAGACATTTATATTTTGTTAAATAATTCCTGTTTCCTCTGAATTCCGTTTGCACAGAAAAACTTCACCAAGCAAGAATTCGAGGCAGTAAGCTCCATAAAGGAAGTACAAGTTAATCCACAGGAATTAAGTATAATTATCTTCTAAATCAGGTAACCCAGACAAAAATTTCTAGATTTGATTTTACTTTTCAAAATTATTTTATTCAGCGAACACTTATGTAGTTCTCACAGTGTGAAAGCTTGCTTTAAGTGCTGAACAAATATTAAATTATAACTTGTATTTCAAATACTGAGTTAGGTTAACTATTTCTGTTTTACAGTTGAGGAAACTGAGGCATAGAAGTTAAGTAATTCGTAAGCTCACAGAGCTAGTATAATGGAGGTAGGATTTCAATCTTAGTAGTTTGATCCAGAATGCAGGCATTTAAGCACAATGCTAAGCTTCCTTCTAAGATATACAAGCAGTGACTGAAAAATACAATTAACAGTTAAATTAAAAGCAAACAAAATACTACAGTAAAAAACCCACTGCAACTAATCCCCCTCCAGGTACTCTCCTTCATTTCAAACACATCACACATTCTGGTCACTTTCTGAAAGTCCTCTTTTGTGAGTGACTTTAGGTGCTACTGTCAAAAACACAGTGACTGCTGCTGCCAAATGTGTCCAGTGGGAAGGCAGACTTGTAAATGCCTTATGGTGCCATCTCCTCCACCTTTACACTGGAGCTGGTACCATAGGACTTCTGGCTCCTCTCCGAAGTCAAAATGACCTTGAACTCCCTGCTGGCAGACATGCTGCCAAACTTCCATTTCACAGTCCAGAAATTTGGAGATAAAGCCAGACTCTTCTTAAAGCAAGAATCTTAACCTGTAGCCACAATCCCTAATCCTAAAGACCTCACAACTTGACAAAAAAAAAAAATTCCATTACTCCAAACAGCAGTAAAAAACTTCTAGCAAGAGAACCCTCATAGTACTTCTCAAATCCATGATTCAGTTTTTCATATCTTTGGCCAGAAAGTTTTCAGGGTTTCAGTAAAGTTTTTTACTCTCTCTCCTGGGTTTGGGAATAGATGTGTTTCAGGCATCCTGAAATCTGAAACATACTTTCCCACAATACTTCAGTTTTATATGTAATAGCTCCACAATAAATATGGGTACAGAATTTTATAACTTAGAAGGACCACCACTCTGATACACAGATGAAGGAGCTGTGGCCCAGAAAGGTCAGGCTACTCCTTGACTGTCAGCCCAGTGGTGTTTACTACTCTATTTAACTGGCTACAAGAGCAAAGCAAACTGGAAACTTGTAACTTCTACATTGGCACAACGAAGAAATGGTATATATATATATATTTGAAATGTTTATATATATATATATATATATATATATATATATATTCTGACGTAAGAGTAAACATTTGAATTGATAAATCAGGAAATAGCCTTAATTCCTGCTCCCCATTTTGTGGAAGTCATATTTATAATTGCATATCCTTTTGTAGTCAGTTTACACAGTCTATCCCTCATTATTTCCTAGAGCTGATATTTTTGCGTCTTTTCTATCCTCTGTGATAAAGAAGTTCCTGATCTGCCCTATCTTCTTGCCACTATGGTCTAATGAACCCCAGGATGAGATAAGAAATATTAAATGGAAACTCTAAGTTCAAGCAAAATTCACTGGTAAATAAAGAAATCTAAACACTAAACACCATCCTCTCTACTCATCTTAGGTCATTCCTTTATATTCCACAGAATCAGTTAGTTGATTTTCTTGTGAAAGGAAATGTAGGACAGCATGAAGGTTCTGGGGACCTGAAGGAGAATGGTATGAGAAAGGGAGAGAAGGCACTGAACATAAACTTACTACTGTGGATAAAACCCATAAAAAGATTCAATTGAAATTTTGTGAAAAAAACTTATTAGCTCTAAGACAGTAAAAAAAAAAAAAAAAAATACAAGGAAGTTATCAAGAATGGCCGAAGTCAACTGCTATAGGAAAACCTTAACATTACCCAACGAGAAAACAGAAAATCCTTTAGGAAAAAAATTGGAGAATATTCAAACTGGAAACCAAGCAAAGTTTTAAAGCCAGAAGTTAAAGGGTTATTGCCCAAATCACAGATAAAAGAACAAAAGCTTGATGGGAAAAGCATAAAATTATGAGTTAATAATATTATGAGCCTTGAATGCAAAGGACTGTGGGAAGGTGAGCACGAAGGCAGGAAAAGATACAAAATAGATGGTAAAACAAATGATTCCTGCCCTCTAAGAGCTTACAGGCTAACTAGCGTATAATATACACATGTGAAAAAGCCTTTTAGTATGATACACAATTGCAAGTAAATATAATCAAAACAAATCACAAAATGAGAAAAAAACTTATTAAAGAGGGTTAAGATTATGAAAAGGATGAAATTTGTCTGATATAACCAAAATGCATTTTAAAAATTCTCATTGATATATTCTTATATAACTCCTAGCACTTATTAATCTTTCTTCTTTCTCTAATAATATTTTTCCAAAAAGTAGGATATACTATTTACCCCTGAGCCACATCCCTATCCCTTTTTATTTTCAGACAGGGTCTTGCTAAATTGCCTAGGCTGCATCAAACTTGCTGTCTTCCTGCCCTGGCCTCCTGAGTAGCTGGGATTATGAGCATGTATCATCATGCCTAACTTCTAGCTTCCTTTTTGATAGAGCACCCTAGATCAAGTGTATTTTCTTCTGAGTTTTGAAAAACAATTTTTATCCTGAACCTAAGTAAAAATTTAATTACTGTAAAAAGAGCTAAGGAAGAAATCAAAACTGTTACAGTGAAAATAATTTTCATGCATCATATTATAAAAATCTTATATATTATACCCTAAAGTCATAATCAACTTTTACAGAAAAATTTTTAAAACTTCACAAATAACTACTGAACAATAGGCAGGCAAAAAACAAACCTAAAAACTTGCAATAAAGCATATATACTCTGCTGTGCGTGCATGGGTGGGGCTGCATGCATACAGGGAGATTCTGAACTTTTATTAAATTAAAAGCTCAGAAGTAACAAGAAAAATGTATTGAATCTGTGTATTAAACATAAAAACAAATCTTTACAAACTTATTACTAAATATAAGTTTTAAGCATCTCTGAAAAATTTTCACAACATTCCTACGCTGTATTAGCTGTGAAATAACTTAAGCTGCAGTATGAGGGAGCTCATTCCTTTTGTGGCTTTCCTCATAACAAAACTGCTGCCTGAACCATACTTTTACTTGTAAGAATGCAGTGTTCTCACATAAGAAACTGGTAATAATTATTTTCTCTTTTTTTTTAATAATTATTTTCTACAAGCATTTGTCTAGAGTTATTCTAAAAATTTCTGAGAATTCTGACTTCTAAATTATATAACAACTTATAAAAAAATTTATTCTTGTGTTGCCAGGAATCAACCTCAGGACCTTGCACTTGCCAGGCAGGTGCTGCACCGCTGAGCTATATATCCCTGGCCTCAGTACCTAAAATTTTTTTAAAAAGTAAAGTTATTGATAGATCTATTTATCATAAAAGCATTCAAAGCAAAACTTAAAAAAAACTGCACTGAACTTCTTTGAATTAATATTAAGATTATGCTACTATAGTATAGGTGGGGTAAATTCTACACAAATTCAATCAAAAATTTAGTGGTGGGTTTCATGGTCACAGCATGGAGGCCAGGCCCACGCTCACCTTGGACGTCTTCCTCTCCACCATCACCATCTTCTTCCTCATTGTAAGCCAGCTCAGCCTGCTTGTCTGCCTCATACTCACCTACGTTACCATCATCCCCATTATAATCCGCCAGTTTAGAGCCATGCTGCGGATCAACAGGGGATTCATTTTCATCAAAGAACCGGCCTGTGAAGTAGGTACAGGATTAATTATAGAATAAAGAGAGGAGAAAAGAAGGGATCTAAACTGAAGGCAGATCAGAGAGTAGACAGGTGAAATCTGGCCACTTTCAGGGTACTGGTTATAAAAAGAAAATATTTCATGAAGGTTATCCCAGAGAGAACAAGAGAGAAAATCCTAAAAATATTGTTTTGTTCTTTCTCTTTCTCCCTCCCTCCCCTGCCCTCCCTCCTTCTTCCTTCCTTTCTGAGGTACTGGAGATTGAACACAAGGCCTCAGCATAAACTAAGCAAGAGCTCTACCACAGCTGTTTCTGCAGACCCCTGCCTCCCTATCCCACCTTTATTTGAGAAACTAAATTGCCCAAATTGGCCTTGAATTGGTGATCTTCTTGCCTCAGCTTACCCAAAAGTTGTGATTACAGAAGCATGCCATCATGCCAGGTTTGAAAATAACTTTTATTTAAGAATTTATCTTTTGTGTAGTACTTGCTACTTAAGATTTGAATGTTTTCTTTTTTCTCTCTGTTTTTGTGAGACAGAATTTCACTATGCAATTCAGGCTGGCCTTGAACTCACTTTGTAGCGCAGGCAGGTTTTGACTCCGTAATCCTCCTGCCTCAGCCTCCTGAGTGCTGGGATTACAGGCGTGTGCCACCACACCCAGCCTTGAGTGCTTTCTTAAAGAAAAGGGCACTAATTTAGTATTTTAGGAGAATAAATTATAACTTAATACAATACACATTTGAAATGTGCAGTCACTTTCCAGAATAATTGTGGAAACTAATCTCCTTATCTCTCTTCCTCCGTAGTAGGGGTTAAGCGCAGGGCTCATTCTGCCTACCAGGCGAGCACTCTACCACCAAGCTGTATGCCTAGCCATTATGAAAAGGTTTAAAAGTTGAGTATTTAAAAATGAGTATTACACAGACTAATATATTTTTGTATACTAAAACAGATTAACACATTTGAGGGCTATCTCAAATTCCTTCATTAATACTGACTTATTGTAATTATGAACTTCCACAGAGGGATGGCAAAGACTAAAAACCAGAATCCCTATTGGTATGTGCTTTGGAAAATCATCCCATCTAATTCTGGTTTATTTCATCCCATTTCCTAAAGTAAATTTTAAGAAACGTCAGTGAAAGCTTGTGAAACTTGATCTACATAACACTGTATTATACATATTCATAACAATTTATCAAGAGGAGCAATAAACTTAAATACTATAGAAAGCTAATAACTAGACATTAAAAATAAAAATGTAAAGTACACTAAGATCACAAATGCAGGTAAAATTCTTTGATATTAAATTTAACTAGCATTGGGGGCTGGGGATTTAGCTCAGTGGCATAAGTACCTGCCTTGCAAGCACGCAGTTGTGAGTTTGATCCCTGGTACCAATAAAAAAAAAATTTAACTAGCATAAAAATAAATTGTTATTTGAATCCCTCCAAAGTGAATAAAATTAACTAAGATATAGGAATTTAAGACTTAAAAATCTTCTGTGATGGGTCTAATATATTTAAAAAATTTAAGTTTCTATAAAACAAAACTTTCCTTAGCTTGGAAAGGAAAATATAAACTGTAAAAATTATGAAGGTACCTATCAGTTCTATAGATGGTTCATCACATCGTCAAAGCAGTATATTTCTAATTGCTGGGTAAAAAGCCAATCAGGAAAATAGTTAAAATGACAAATCCTATTGGGTGTGATGGCACATGCCTGTAACCCTAGCACTCTAGGAGGACAGGCAAGAGGATCCCAAGTTTAAGTCCAGTCTGGGCAAGTCAGTGATTTAACAAGACCGTGTCTCAGTAAAAAAAAAAAGGGCTGGCCATGTAGTTTAGTGAGAAGGCCCCAGGTTTAATCAGTACAAAAACCCCAGAACAAAAAATAGAACAAAACCCAAGAAGTCTTTAACTGTTAAAGGCCGGAGGGTGTGGGAACAGCAAGACTGCAGTAATTGGGACCAATTAAAATCCCATAAAGCTAGAAGATGAGGCAGGAGGACCATGCATTCAAGTCTAGCTTGGTTACATAGCAAGACCCCATCTCAAAAAACAAAATATACAAACATAATTTATTGTAGATCTATTCTAGAATAAACAGAACTCCTATACTCATTTTACAGGGGCACTATTTGAACCAAGGGACAAGGTATATAAAGTTATCTAGAAAAATATTTTTTCCACTCATCCAATATTCACTGATATGTATGATAGATAGTGTGCTACCTGCTGTGATACAAAAATACAGTTACCATCTCTATCACCTGTAACTCAGTGTAGTAAGAGACACAGATATATAAACTATTAGTGATACCATGTGTGCTGTGTACAGAATGGCCGATACAGTGGCATCTAAACATGTTGCAAGTTGTTTTCCACTTGACAGAGTAAATTTGAACTTTATGTAGTAGGCAATAACCAGTTACTATGATTTCTTTTTAAACTTACTGAGAATAGGAACTAATCTGTGGCATCTTTGTTTCTTTTGTTTGATGGTTTCTTTTTTTTCTTTCTTTTTTTTTAAAGACAGGGTCTCACTGTGTAGTCCAGACTGAGCTTGAACTCACTAGTGAAGCCCAGGCTGGACTTAAACTTACGGCAATCCTCCTGTCTCAGGTTCCCAAGTGCTGGTATTACAAGCATGTGCCACCTGGCTGCAGCATCTTATATTGTACAAAATTCAATTGTGCATTTGAAAATTATGTTGACACTGGTGGCTAGCTAAAAATCATTAACTTAAGAGTCCATTAGCAACAAGACAGTTCCATTCAGCACGTTAAACCCAAGAACACAGAGATAAGAAACAACACACCCATTAGCTACTGAAAGTCTCTAATGTCAGACATGGTGGTGCACACCTGAAATCCCAGCATAATAGGGTAATTACTCTGTTACCAAGTTCAAGCCCAGCCTTGGCAATTTAGTAAGATCCTGTCTTAAAATGAAAAAAAGCTGGAGATTTAGCTCAGTGGCATAAGCGCCTGCCTTGCAAGCACGCGGTCGTGAGTTTGATCCTCGGTACCAATAAATAAATAAATAAATAAACTGGCTGGGATGTAACTTGGTATAGGCCTTGGGCTTAATCTCTACTACATCAAAATAAATAAATTCTTAAAACTAAAAAAAAAATATTTGAACAGTATCAAATATGAAAAACTAGTAGTAAGAAATTCTCAATATTTAAATTCCTTTTTTGAGTTAAACTAACAACTCTACTAAATATATGATAAGCACATGGTAGATTTAAAGTAATTTTTCATGTATTTTCCTTCCTTTTATTCTAACTGGTATAATAGGATGGTCCATGATTGTGGACTAGGTTCATATATTCTACATGACCTAAAGTATTAAGCCTCTTTTTTATTTCTCCTAAAACACCACAATAGAACTTCATAAGGAATCCTAGACATTCTGTAAAACAACTCAAATGTCAGACCTCAAACATAAAAAAATAGAAAAAGAAAGGATAACAACAACAATGTTATGGCTTGTATTTAGATGTCCCCCCAAAGCCTCAGGGAGTCCTAAGTGGGGCTTTTCAGAGGTGGCTGCATCTACAGTGTATGCTGCTTTGATCGAAGATGCGATGCTGGGGCTGAGTCATGGGTGCTAGTGTGTGAGTGTTGCCTGCCCTAAGGGTGGACAGCCTGGATAAGATACAAGGGACAGAAAGAACTGTATTCATTGCTTGCCACCTGTCCATTGTCACTTCCTTGCTTACTGCCTTCTGGCCACCATGCTTCGCCATGGACTATTCCTCCTCTGTGATGTCACTCTGCCTGGGAACCAGCTCATTATGAACTGAAACTTTTACAAATTATAAAATAAATAAACTTTTTCTTAATTTGTGGGTGTTGGGTATTTTGTTTCAGCAAAGAGAAGAGTAATTAAGACAAATAGTAACATTCTTCAATCAGGAAAAAGATTGAGGAATTTATTTCATTTCAGTCAAAGAAAGTAGGCTGTAAATTTTAATCCTGTAGTATGAATCAAATGAAACTCTATAATAAAGCATTTTTATTTGCTTTATTAGCTTCTGATTATTTTATGGGCTTTAATTTCTTATTCTACCAAAAACTTTTTATGTGATTCTAATTATCAACCTGAGTAGGTTAAAACCTATCAAGAAAGAAAAGGAATATTTATAGGATGCAACCACCTTTTCATCTACTGGTAGTTGTTATGATTTAGGTCTAAAATGTCCACCAAGGGGACAGAGAACAGGTGAGTGGATTATAGGGGCACAATACTCAGTCCAGTGAGTTCACAGCTGAATGTACTGTTAGAGGTGGGGCCTGGTTGGAGGCGGATCACTTGGGGTTTGATCTGAACGGGCATTTTCTTGTCCTGGCTCTTTTCTTTTCTTTCTGCTTCTGGCCTGCCATGGGTTGAACAGCTTTCCTCCATCAGGCATTTCCGCCTACCATTTCTGTCTGGGAGCCAGTTGACCATGCCTAAGACTAAACCCTCTAAAACCATGAGGCAAAACAAACCCTCGTCCTAATCAAAATTGTGAGTATTGGGATTTTATCTCAGGAAAAGAAATGTGACTGATACACTGTTTATTCTCATTTCATTTATTAATTTGTTCTTTTTTCCCTTCCTCTTACCCTTGTCCATACCTACTGGGTCAGCCTTAGCACTAAGCTGACAGAGCCTGAGGTAGAAAATAATTTGCTAATTTTTTTTTTTTAATTTTGGTCTTTTTCCTTTTTATCAGTACCAAGGATCGAACTCACAACTGCCTGCTTGCAAGGCAGGCGCTTATGCTGCTGAGCTAAATCCCCAGCCCCTAATTTGCTAATTTTTGAGAAGTGATACCAGGTGATATCTTCAGGTGATAGAAAGGTGGTATCTTTCTATCAGGTGATAAATATCTTCAGTATTTCAGGCATACATTAAATATATAAGATGATTATATTAATCCTATATATATTAAATGTGTATATTCCAACTTTAGTGTTCAAGGATTTGTTTGTTTGTTTTGGTACTAGGGATCGAATCCAGGGCCTTTGTAGTAAACTACATTCCCAGGACCCCCTGAACTCTTTTTTTAGAGACGGTCTTGCTAAGGCTTGAACTGTTGATCCTCCTTTGTTAGTGCCCCAAAGTACTGGAATTTATGAATGTGTGACATCACACTGGCTTTAAGTATTTTTTATTTTTTGCAGTGCTGGAGTGTGAACCCAGGGCATTACACATGCCAGGCAAGTGCTCTTCCACTGAGTGATATTCCCAGACTTGATTTTTTTTTTTCTGAAAAAAATTTCACCAAGGTTTTATGTTATCATATTTAAGAATTGACATATTTTTTTTTGTCTTTTTCATTTTTATCGGTATGAGGGATCGAACTCACGACTGCCTGCTAGCAACGCAGGCGCTTATGCCGCTGAGCTAAATCCCCAGCCCCATATTTAAGAATATACCTGCCAGCTACTCAGGACATTGAGGCAAGAGGATCAAAAGTTTAAGGATAGCCTGGACAATTTAGTGAGAACCTACTGAATCTGTTTCAAAATAAAAAATAAAAAGGGTTGGGAGCATGGCTTAGTGGTATAGCATTCCTGGGTTCAATCCTCCATACTTGGAAAAAAAAAAAAAAGACAAGAATACCCAGATTGAAGCAAACTACTTTTTCAAATATTTCATAAAAATTTTTTCTTATTAAATACTGGATATACAGAGAAGTGTAGAGAGTAGAACAAACATCCACGTCCCCATCACCGATAGCTTTATCTTATTTTTACATTTGTGGTTGCTATACCTTTCTACAGCTTTTATTTTTTCGGTACTGGAAATCAAACTTAAGACCTTGCGCTTGCCAGGCAGACATTATGCTGCTGTACTATATCCCCGGCCATGTTCCACCGTTTTTGTTTTTTTGTTTTTTTGGTTTTTTTTTGGTCTTTTTGAGACAAGGTCTTGCTACGCAGTTTAGGCTGAACTTGGGCTCACTTTGTAGCCCAGGCTGGTCTCAAACTTGCCAATGATTCTCCTGCCTCAGCCTCCCAAGTACTGGGATTACAGGAGTTCACCACCATGCTTAGTTTGTTCTACAGTTTTTAAAGAAATAAAACACTGTTGATATAATTAAAGTTCCTTGAATACTTTTCCTAGCATTTCTTTTCTGTTTCTTTAACCTTTATCTTCAATTTGGTGTTAAGCACCCCTATGAGTTTGGGTACTCATTAGTAAGTTCTCATGGTTCTGATTTATAATTTGACTCATAGTTTTATATTGTATGATGATGTGAAAATGAAATATATTCGCTGGAAAACTGTATTTTGAATTTTGACCTTTTTCTGGATTGTGGTACACAGTAGGCTTGTGATGTTTGATGGCAGCAGAAAACTGTAGCTTCCAATCAGTTACATGGTTAAAAGGAATAAAAACCAGCTGGGAATGGTGGCTCATCACCAAGATTCCAAGACTGAGAGACTGAAGCAGGAGGAGCCTAAGTTTGAACACAGCCGGGGCAGCTTAGTAACCACCTGTCTCAAAAAAAAAAAAGGACTGGAAATCTCACTCCTGTGCTTCATTCAATCCCCAGCAGGTGGGGTGGGATGAATTTTTACCACAGGGAATAATGACATCATGGATCAAGGAGCATGTGGACTTATTCTTGCTGGGGGAGGGCAGGGATGGAGTCTGACTTGCTGAGCTCAGGTGCCTCATGCCTATAAAATAGATACCCTGGACACTAAGGTTAAGGTAGGCTTCCCTCATGATGAAGAAGGCTAGTCAGTAACCGAACTCCATTTTGTTTTTCTATCATTTCATCTGCCTCCTAGTTCAAGACAAATCTTGAACCTTGATGTGGCCACGATGCAGAAGCACCTTCCTTGCTTTCCACACCGCTTGTCCCTCTGATCGGCATACTGGCACAGCCAAGTTGGTTGAGATGCCCAAGAGTTGGAGCTTTTGCCTAAAATGGTGGTAAATGCCAGGCGTGATGGCTCATGCCTGTAATCCCAGTACTCAGGAGGCAAAACAGTTAATGAGAACAAAGCAAAATAGTGAGAACAATATTAGACTTCAAAGACAAGACAGAAGGAAATCCCCTATATTTGCTATACTGCATACTGCCATCCTCCCAAACGATGCTTAGATCACTGGCTCCTGGCCTGCAAAATCAACCAAACACAGGCATTTAGCTGCTTTATGTACCTTAGTTGGTATCAATTCTGAACCAGCCAGTCGCTTATGAGTTTGTGTATGAGATGGGGGGACAGGGAGAGCTGTGGGGATGATAACACTGAATTTGTGAGCTGTGAGCTGGTAGGCTCACAGGAGGCACTATCTGACTTTTATCTCCCTAGAACCTGCGCAGTTTGCGTGACTTACCAAAAAGGCTGACTAGTTGATTTCTTGGTGGCTTCTCCTAGTCCTAGCATGGTGTATCATTTCTCATTCTGATGTTTCTTATTTTCCTTTTTTTTGGTAGTGCTGGGGATTCAACTCAGGACTTTGTGTATGTTAGGCTAGCAGTTTATCACTGAGTTACATCCCCAGCCCTCTGGTATTTCTTAGTTGCTAAATTTCATTTAATACTTGTCATGTTCAGTATAAACTTATACCTTTGTATTGTGTCATCAGTTCCAAAATACTGAACCCCTATCCTGGATCAGCTAGATCTTTCTCTGTATTCTAATGCTATCGAAAGGAGTTCCAACCCCTAATGGCTTTAGGCAATGTACAAGTAATACTGATGTGCTATGTTAGAAGGAGTTGGATGAAACTGAACAGGACAAACATCATTTTAAAGATAACTGAGTCTAGGGAGCAGTTCCATATGTGCACCCCTGCCAGACTGGAACAGCCAGACCCCAGTCTCTGCCTGTGAGTCAGCGCCACTTGCCAACTAGGGGTAGAAAGAAAAACGGACGCATCACATCAGCGCGCAAACCCAGTCTGGGAAGCAGCGCTATGCGTGGACCCCCGCCAGGCTGAAACAACCACATCCCAGCCTCTGCCCCTGAGTCTGTGCCGTTTGCAGACCAGGGGTAAAGAAAACAACAGACATATCTGCGAGGAAAC